AAGGACATAGTATAGAGATTATCCTGATAAAAATGTTGGAGAGTATTAAAGTAAAGAAGCCTCATATACTTTCCAGAGAAAACAATATTTATGTTCCTCTGGGAAGAGCAGCACTATGTTACAACCAACAAACTGTCCAGAGAGGAATGATGGGCTCAGACATCTTTGCAAATTACTAGAGACAATTTTTGTATTTTGTAAGGCCAGAACAGCTTTTGCTGATGCATTTTTTCCATCCAGGAATATAAATATTAGATTAAAAATAAAGCTAAAGGCTAAAATGGAAGTTTGTACAGTCCATTATTATTATTACTAAAATGGAAATATAATTTCTCTATGCATCCCTAAATACGTTTCTGTTCTAATTGGCTTGAGAAGTGAAACAGTTGCTTGCTAGAATATCTATTATATATATATATATAAATTTAATAGGAATTCCATTTAATCTTTCCCTATTTGTAAGACTTCACAGACTGGGTAGAAACTGTAACTTTTAAGTAAGTGCTCCTTTTAGTGTCCTACCAGTGTCATGTTCTGCTGGCTGTGAATTAACACACTTCATGATGATGCTGGCAGTGTAGCAGTTTCCATCACTGTATGCAGGACTGAAAGACCACAGAGTGTCCTGCATTTCAGGGTACCAAAGTGTTTGTCTCCTGAAAGTTCTTTTCCAAACATTTCTTTCTTTTTAAACTTCTTTTCAAAATGTAGCTTTTCAAGTTTGCTCTTGCATATCTTTTGTTTTGTGTTAACGAGAGTAAAAGTTGTCAAATGCATTCTCTCAATCTCAAGTGTGGGAAAATTCTGGTAAATCTTGCCAGCAAGGTACATATAAATTATCACTGATCCTAATTTTCTACCTCTCTGGAACACCAAAAAATCAGTGAAATGATCACTGGTTTTTGTTCTATTACCTCTTTTCCTGGTTCATCCTGTGATCTTCCAGGCCAAGAGCAGGTTCCCTGATACCGAAAAATGTAAAACTCTTTGCAGTTTTTTACCTGGGTATTAATTTTGGTTCCTAGCTTCTCTTCTGGACAAACAGGATTAAATTCTATCTCCATTGCAGACAGTTGCAAAACACCTGCCAATGTCAATAGGGCCAGAATTTCACCCAGAAATTTCACTCCAGGCTACCTGTGAAGTTTCTGCACTGGGGTGATGGCATGTCCCCAGCTGGAGCTCCCACTGCTGCTCTGCCAGAGCTCTGCAGGATCCCAGTGGGACAAAGGGCAGGGCATGCCCTTAAGTGGTTTTAGTTTTCTAACCAGTAAATGTATGTAACTCAGGGAGGTTTCTATAGCAATTCCTCTTGTGACTTCTCTTTTCTTACTTTTTCTTTAACGAGGTAGACCTCAGCATGGATTTTTAGCTATTATTATTATTATTGTTATTGAAAATGTATCTTTTTTAAATCTACTTTTCCAAATATAAAAATGAAGTACAAATACATGCATATCCCCTGAGATTTGATCTGTTATGTCATGTGTTTATGTCTTTTACTGCTCTTTAAGGCAAAAAAAAGGAGATGGACTTGTGTGGTTTGGTGGTTTTTTACTATAAGAAAATGAAATTAAAGTATAACTGTATTTAATAATTCAATACTGTTGTGTATATATATATATATATGTTTGTATCTATGCATGTATATGTACATATACGTATAAATGCACACACATGTGATTTGAGTTGAAGGGCCAAGCATTAAATTGCAGACTATCTCTCCTGAGATAAAGTTATTTTTTTGACTTTTTTTAACTGAGGATGATACAGTCTTCACATGGCTGTTGAACTGGAGGAATGTAGCAGCAGTGTCAAGTCCGTGTCATGCATGCGTCATGGGACTGAGAGTGCTGTTCAGTCCACAAGAATGGCTCACTATATGCTCTACACAGAAAAGGAAAATAAATCCAAATGTGACTGTACTTAACCAGTGAATTTAAAAATCTTTATGTGTCAAAAACTCACTTCTTTTGATGTCAGTCCAGCCAAGTATAGTCTCATGGTCATGTGCCTCTCACAGTCAACTTCCTCTTTGCTAGAGTCATGAAACCCAGCTGAAAATGGTACATTCTGTGGTTTAAGAACTCTTCAAAATTTAGGCTGAACATTTGTCAGAGGCATGATTTAAATAAAGGGTTTTTGAATTCTGAGAAAGCATCAGTTCCAGTGAACCTCCATTCTTACTTTCTCTAGGGATAGCACAGTCCTTTTTAGGAGCATCACTGAAGTCCAGAGAAAGATGGGCATTGCATGGGGCAGCACCCAGGTGTAGAGGTGCCGAGATAGACCTGCCATGCCCTGTACCATGGTCCTCTTTTAGCTCTCCCTCTGTCCACCAAAACTGCAAGGGAAACGTATTTACAAATAGCAGAATTAGCTGTACCATGAGTTTAGTTAAGATCTTTTTTAAAAACACGTGGGCTGGCCCCCTCTCCACCACAAGCCTTATAAATAACTTGCTTCCTGGCTGTTGTGTTGACAAACTGAGCTCCTTCCACCACCTCCGCCACCCCCACCTTCTCCCTTCACAAACACATGCTACATCTCCCAGGACTTCAAAGTTTATTATCAAACAATTTTGGGGGTGGGAGGGGGGCAGGAGGGAGGAAAGAGGAATCAGAGTGTTCATATGGGTCAAAAATGTCAATTAAAGCCTCAACCTGTTCCAAAAGTAAGACGAAATGTTAGCACGGAGTTCTTCTGGAAAGATTAGAAACCCTGAACTTCAGAAATCCTGCAGGACTATTCAGGTGATGCTGGAGTGGACTGAAATCCACCCAGGTGTTGCACAGAGCCAGATGCTTCCAGCCTGTGTCTGGCTTAGCTGTCTCAGTGAGGCTCATTTAAACCCCCATTCCAAGGATTTTATGCTCTTACTCAAAGGCCAGCTAATGACTGACCTGGTGAAAATCCCTCTTCAGTGCCAGTGGTTCGATCTGCAGCATATCAGAAACTAAAATATTCCCCAATTTAAACGCAAAAGCCTTACTTTATACTGCTTGCACAAACAAAAAATACCTTCCAGTAAGTGCTTTGCGCCCAGTGCTTTAAGCACAGGTCTGAAGGGTTTTATTTCTGTGTCAGAGTTATAAAGATGCAGAAATAAGTGAGAGGTTGCAAGTGGCCCACCATGAACGCACAGCAAGTTAAATGCACAAACTTAGAGGTAAGAGCTTATCTCTGTCTCTTGTTCAGGAGTCTCCCAAATGCTGACTTGTTTTTTGCCTATATGAAGCATCTGATGTCACTTTTGTGTGTGTGGGTGGAAAATGCTGTACAAAGGTTAAACAAGTTCTTTCATCCTTGCTCATGAAAGTGAGCTCGTATTGCATTTCCAGTAACCAAGTGCTTTACTATAACAGGCTGGGGATTTACTTTCTGCATACGTATGTACCTCTGGTGACTAACTGGCCATGTGCTCTCTCCATTCCTCCTAATGTTGCTTAAATTATTGCTTAATATGAATGGTTTTGGCCAGAGTTTATAAAGGTAGTGCAGCCAACATTTCCAGCTATCAGTAAGTAGCCTTTGTATCACGCAGTCACAGAACCTGTAGCTTCTCTGCATGCTATAGAAAGGAACTTTTTAGAAATTAAAGTGTAAAGATTGCATCCCATAAAATAGCTGATTTCTTCAGCCAGGTACTTAAACAGAGAGACGTCACTGAGTCCAACATAGGAGCATGCATTTGCATTTGAGCACAGGAAAAATCCCACTGGCAGTAGCTTAATATTAAGCAACTGATTGTGAGTTTTGCTACATGGAGGCCTAAAAGAACCTGGAATCATTGGAGTTACCTCAGTGGATATTATGCACTAGAGCTATCCAAAAGCCTCTGATAACGTGTTTTAGTCTTTTTCATTCTTTCTGGAATGGCTGTTCAACACCTGTGGAGAAACACACCTCACAGCTGAGACATGAAGACCACGAACGAGTTGCACTCAGAGGTGCAGCTGGAGGTTGAGAAGCTTTACGTGAGTAATGTTTTTTTGCCGGTGTAGTTCCCGCACTGCAGGAGGGTAGGTGTATCAGCACGGAGATCATCACAGCTACCTAACGGAGGCTGTGCAAGCCAGGAGGGCTCTCAGCCTCCCACACTGCCTTCTGCTGCCAGCTTCACCTGAGCTAGCAAGTTCAAAGGCAGCTCAGATGTGCCTGCATGAGCTCCAGTAACAGCTCTGCACTACCAGCTGGAGCGCAGCACAGAGGCGTGAAATGAAGAGCAAGAACAAACAACCCAAATGGCCCAGCAGGAACCGAGGTGGGGTGTCCCATGTCTTCTAGCAGGGCTGTTGATGGGAATGAACCCAGGAAAAAGCTATGCAGTTATGTGGGAGCATCTTCAGAACAACACACAGACACAACACACAGAATCCTGGAGCCATTTGAGTTGGAAAAGACATCTAAGATCATCTGGTTCAATTGTTAACCCAGCACTCCCAAGTCCACCACTAAACCATGTCCCCAGGTGCCACATTTACACTTTAATATATAGTAATTTATTATATAGAAGACCAATCATTGTTCTTTTAAACACCTCCAGGGTTTGTGACTCCACCAGGATAGCCTGTTTCAATGCTTGAAAACCCTTTCTGTGAAGAATTTTTTCCTAATATCCAGTGCAACTTGAGACTCTTTCCTCTTGGTAGATCCCTTTTTATTTGGAAGAAGAAACCAATCCCCACCTGGCTACAACCTCCCTTCAGTGGTTGTTGTAGAGAGTGATAAGGTCTCCCTTGAGCCTCCTTTTCTTCGAGTTAAACTCCCCCAGCTTCCTCAACTGCTTCTCACCAGGCTTGTGCTCCAGACCCTTCCCGAGCTCTGTTGCCCTTCTCTGGACTCACTCCAGCACATCAATGTCTTTCTTGTAGTGAAGGGCCAAAAACTGAACACAGTAAAGTATTGGCTAAAATTGAGGAAAAACATGGTGACAACCCTTACAGGAGAATGTCAGCCCAGTACATGCTGATAAATGAAAAGCAATGACAATCAGTAAGAAGAGTTTGGAAAGTCACAGATATTTTATTGACTTATAAACTGTGACAGTCTGAAAAAGGATTGGATCACTCCTGATGACAACTCTGCAGGAAAGCTTCTGCAGACTATGTAATCTGTGGGAGAAAAAAAGACAAATTATGTATTATGAGGCGAAAGACACAGGGAGGAAAACATTATAAACAGTATAATGTGATAGGTAAATGAATAATACACTGCCAACTGGCACACTGTGTTCAGCTTTGGTCAGTGCATTTGGAGGAGATAATACAGTAGCAGAGGGGATTCAGATAAAAAATAATTAAAATAAGTAGAGGAATGAAGAATTTTCTATGTGAAAAGATAAAAAGGATTAGGTTCATTTAATTTAAAGATGAAATAAGAGGGAATATATTAGAGGTTGCAATATGATGACTCTAATACAAATGAAATATCCTGTGCTCCTATTCAATGTTTCTCTCATTCAAAAAGTGGAAACATTACATGATTAAAATCCATAAGGAATGATAAAAGACTGCATTTTTTCTCACAACACAAATACAAAATTATTCTCTGTACTCTTTGTTATAGGAGCATTAAAATGGACTAAACACTTATAAAGAAAATTAGAATATGCAAATTCATTAAACCCAAGAAATATTTTTCAAGAAGTTGTGTATACATCATCTTTAGATTAAACAGATCCTGGTCTGATATCATATGCCAATTCCAGCATACATTCAGGAGAGGAAAGTATGGGAGGGAGAGTGCCATGAAATTTGTTTTTCTATAACTAGTGGCATTACTACTTTGGATATGATATCTCATGCCCTGTTGATACTAGTGACAAGCTGTTCATGAAGGTAAAATTCATCCTTTTACAATGGCAAAGCTTCTGGACTTTTCCTTGCACTGCTGTAAGCCAGTGAAGTTTAAATTCTGCATGTTTGCATGTTGAAAACCCACTGCCAGTGCAGACCCAAAGCATGCCTGCCCTGTGCCTCAGGCCAGAATAACAGAGAGGAAAAAAATCCTCTTCTGGTGTGAAAGGGGAAAAAAAATATTTTCCTGACAGATTATTTAAAAGCAAATAATAATACCGAGAGCTATTTGTAACTGTTTGGAAAAAACCTGAACAAGTCCCAGCAGAGACAGACTGGCAGGCAGAGAGTGGAGGAAATATTGCAGAGCTAATTAATTTATTACATAAATCCGTAGCTTTTCAAGTGATTATCACTCAATATAAACGCCATGAGAAAAAAAAAAAAAAGGAACAAAAGAGCTTTCAGGAGCATCAACCAGCATCCTTTTGGGAGGGTAAGACCAGTGTAGTATCGAACCTTCAGGAACAAGTGACTCATGACATGCTGCACGTAGCGGCCAGATTTGTCCAAAACCAAAAGCTTTTCCTTCCCCATACCTTAAAAAGTGAACAAACCAAACCAAACCCCCAAAAAATCTCCAAGCCCACATACAGTACAATGAGAGAGAGAGAGAGAGAAAAAAATTTAAACCCCCTGGTCTTTGTAACCCAGTTCCTCCTACATGCATTTCCCACAAACTGTCAACATCCCACAGGAATCTACCCACGTTACACATCACAGCACAATGCTCCCGACAAAGGCATCTCAACCCATGATGTTTCAGGCAGCCTTTCAAACCGCCTTCAGTGTATCTGGGTTCACAGCTCTGTAATTAGGTGTTAAGTTTGAGCAATCCGGGAATTTATGCAGGGAGATACCTCTTCGGCTGCTCAGCGTGATTTATGCCTGCATGGTCTGGCTGGAATGAACAAAGGTTTGCCCCGTGAAGAAAATGAGACTCTCCATACTTCTCGTAGGCTCCAGTTCAGTGAAGCACTTAAACGTATGTTCAGGTTCATCCCTATTTAAAACAGCCTTTAAACAAGCACAGGGAGCTCAGTGGTCCTTTCAGCTCCACGGGACTAAAGCAGGCATGTAACTGCTCTCCTGAACAGGCTTTCATTTACAAACAACATCAATAATAATGTTAATAATCATCGTCATAACAACATCTGCTCTGCTTGGCTTTACATGACAACACCAGGCTTCAGAAGTGAACTATGATAAATTAAAAGCATAGGTTCCTGCCATAAGCAAAGCTGGGAAGATAACATTGTGAATAACACTGATCCTTGCCAATGCAGTTTTCTTCAGTATATGCCAGAGTGTCGCAGGGTTAAAATGACCATTCAATGCCTCTTTGATGTGTGATTAACTCTCAGCAAGTGAATATTCCTAATGACCCAGAGAACTGAAGGCTGCGTCACATATTTCATTTCAGTCTTCAAAATCAGGGGGTTGGGACAAAAAAAAGTGGAAGAATATCATTTTAGGAGACCAGGAGGTAAAAGAGAAAATATAAGACAAAATTATTGGGCCATGTCAGCAGTCAGTCCTACAGAGGGCTGCACAGCATGTTTTCAGATGTTTTACTAATCATTACACTGGTACATGTTGAGAGAAATGCTGCTGGATGACTCTTCTCATACTCCAAGATATCTGCCCTGAACGGGAATAACAACAAATTTGGCAATCGATTCTTGAGGTTTCAGCACCTACCATATCTCGCATAACTCACTAATCTAAACACGGATCTGCCTCTGTTTTCACCACACATACCTTAATTACCACAAAACCTGATTTACATTGTTATCACTCAGGTGTATTAGATGTCTTCCTGCGGCCCCTTTCAACTTCCAGATGAACTTTGGATACACTGTAAGCCAGACAACACGTTGTGGCTCTATGGCTTACAGTGGCCTATTACAACTGATACTCTGATATTTCCTTTATTTTATTTAATTTACCTTCCTATACATTTCAGTTAACAATTATGAGAAAAGGATGGAGCCACTGGCATGCAGAACTCGGTGGTGTTCAAGGACACCTACCACACTGCCTGTAGGTGACTATCCAACCACAACTGTGATAAAAAAACACTTGCTTACTGTTGCAGCACATTTTTCCATTGTAATTTTTGTTTTTCTAAATCTAATCTTTATTCACACTTTCTTACGCTTCAAAGAAAAATTACAACATTTTACTATGGGTTAATTTTCTGAAGTAACTTTGCTTTTGAGGTTGCATCTGAAACAACCAAAATCTTTGCACTTGCTGTATATATGGGTATGTATATAAATACAGATGTATGCACGATAAAATATATGGAGGTATCTTGATTATGTTCCTTTGGAGGAAATATTCAAAATTACAAAAGAGAAAATTTAGTGGTCAAAAGACTCACATATCTCAACTGGGACATGGTGCAATTCTCCCATTTGATCTCTACTGTGACTTTGTGCAAACCACATTATTTCAGGAAATGTTCTGATCTCTCTAGTCAGTGATTGTGAAGCAACATTATAAAGGAGGTTTTTCAGGCATATTACCAGTTTCTTATTCCATGAAAATGCAAGGGAGGAGAAAAAGAACTCTTATCTTACTTAGTCATTCAACATTGGTATTAATGATATGCTCATATATATGTATTAACTTTCTGGATTTTATTTGTATCTTAATATTAATGTAAAACACATTGAAAGGCAAATCATAAAAGTGAGAATTTTTTAATGTCTGAATCATCACTGAAAGGACAGAGTGACAACATATGGATATTCTAACAGATGGTCCCAAGCCTGTAAACCTTAGGACCTGCCTGAGTGCATCACCAGACCTCATGGCTCATAGAAAGTGATTTAAACGTGAAACATCTGGGGTTTTATACAATTAGCTCTCAAAAAGCAAGCTTGCAACTCCCCCAAATATAAAAACTTATTTTTTGGGGAAAAAAAAATCACATTTTTTTAATTGTTTAAAGTACTTTTGCTCAGGTCACAGCTTTCCCATTGCGTGGCCACAGCTCATAGAAACCAGTAGGGGAGGGGACAGGTTTGGCAAAAAGGAAGTATGGGGATGCTGACCTGTTTTTGTTTGTTTGCTTTTTGTAAAAGTCATGGTGATAAAGGCCAACATAAATTACAGTTACTAAGCATATCAGTAATTATTAGGGAGAGCTGTTCCTAGTTCCAGTCCTAATTATGGTGCTAGTAATTTCAGATGGTTTTTTAACTCAGTGTGAGGGACTGCACAAAATCTGCCCATGAAAACAAGCAGTGACCATAAAGGTGTAAAATGAGATAATTACAGCCTGAAACAAAAGACAAAAAATGTTAGTACTCAATTATCTGAATGATAATTAAAACTTACATTTGATGGCCATAACTTAAGCATCTACTTAGGAACAGAAGCCATTTTGTTCCTTCTTGGTCCTGATTTACATTCCTACAACAGTGCTGGAATAAAAAGACAGAGCAGTGACCAAATGGAGGTGTCTGCATAGCCTTGAAGCAAAACATGCTCAGGATTTAAACTCCCTTTCCTGCAATGTGAGTTTTGTCAGGACCAATGGGCTCTTTGCTTTCATTCACAACAGGCACAGAGGCAACCAAGTTCAGGTTCAAGAGTCTCTCGAAAGGCTCTCCAAGCCCACGTGCCTTTCCCTGTCTCTGTGGTGTGAGAGCAGTGGACTCCTCAAGCTCTGCAGTGCCGCTGCAGCACAGCTGCCGTCGGAAACCTCCGGTGGGAAAGATCAACGGCAGAGCTGCTTCCATTTCTCAGGTGGAAAAAAGCCTGTTGTCAAAAAGCTCCTCCACGGAAAGCAAAGGAAGGAAGATCATCACCTGAGCAGCGTTGTAGGGTGATGGAGCCCCCACCCGCAACAGGGACTGCATCTCTCTTAACATCGACATCCCGAGCCTTCATTTTTTGATTTCTCCAGAGAAGGCATGTTTGGAGGGTTCTCCAGGAAGGCTGAAACCCTTTGAGTGCGTCAAGGTGGGACCAGCCCATCCCAAGCTGTGTCTCTGCACTAGCTCACAGACTGCCCAGCTTTTGCAAAAGAAAATAGTCTGGGCTGTGCAATGGGGAGCAATAAATAAGGCAAAAAGGAGAGGAAAGAGCAATTATGAGAAACAACTTCCAAATGATCACATCTTGATGTATTTATTTACACTGCTTTTCATAAATTCCCCTGGCCACCTTCTTAATCCCAAAGATTCTGAAATATGCGGCAGAATTGTTATTTTCCTTGGATTGGGATACATTCACCATCCACAACTCATTACTTGGGAACCCTTTTACAATTAAGTCTTTATTAAAACCTTTCAGGATAAATAGTAGGTAAACTTAGAACAGGTTCCCTCCAGGTTTTACCAATAGAAACAAGTGCTGTGTGTCCTGAGGGACAAGTGATTTTTCGCCAATAATGTATCAGGATGCTCCTCACAAAAGTATTCTCCCTTATTCCTTAATAAGCTCCATATCCCACGTGTCTGTGTTCATGCACACTCCTACAGTGAACAGGTGAGAGACTGGGAAATGTGTTTGTTTGGGATTTTTTTTCCCTTTTAAACAAAAATACCTTTTAAATTAAAAAAAAAAAAAAATTAAAAAAAAAAGAGGCAATACCTTGTCCCTTAATACATTAACTCTGCAGGAAAACAAATGGTTCCACAGAACATTAGCAGCAATCAAAGGGCAAACAATCTATAGTTAATCAAAGTAAACATTACAGATGACATAAGTCTGTTTTTGCTTACAGTAAATGAATGTATATAGGTATCTACTTGGGTAAATAGGCTTCACAAAAGTTGGGTTTTGTGTGGGGTTTTTTTTATTTTTTTTTTCCTGAGAAAACTCATAAAAATTGGAAATTACAAATAGATATCTTTATGTCCCACTGTGTAGTTGCTCATAAACTTCGTGCACATTTACTGTAAAAGTGAGATTGCCACTGATTATTACTGACTTAATGCAAGCCAAATATTTCTTTGAAGCAATCTCATGAGGAATATTTTAAATAGTTAAGATTAACTGATCACAGATGGAATTAAATGAAGTCATTATTTGAAAGTCCTGCTACCATGCAAGGTGTACTTTCCTCACAATATGCTCACTCCAGCCATGCTGGCCCCCTTTCTGGAGGCTCTTTTCCTGCATTGTTCTAGCCCAGCAGTCATTCTGCATATTGACATTTCTGTGCAAATAAACACGCTTAGAAATGAGGTTCCTTGGCATTTCCTGAACTCCAGAGTGTTTTCAAGTGCACTTCCTAATGCCTTTTACACTTGAGAAAGACCCGTATAATTTTAAAGAAGAAATATGAATTCTCATGGTGTGAACCCATGCATCGTGGAGAAGATAGATTTTGCAATGTGCTGCTGTTATAGAGCGGGCCACACGCTTGTTTCTCTTGAATATTGTTCTGTGAGTAAATCACTGTGAATCAAAGTGTCTCCTAAACCAATAAAGTGCTGCACAACAAGCTCTATAATAACAGAACAGGGTTCAAAGAGCTGCAATCATTAAATAATGTGATAAGATGGAGATGGTCAAATATGTAAGGCGTGTGTTTAACTCTGGAGTGTTTAAGAAACTTTCAGGCTTGTTTAATTACTTATCAAAGACATTTTAATGCTGCTTTGCAAAAGGCCTTTATCTTGCTGAAAATTAATATTTTCAATAAATTTTTGTTGCCCTCAGGCTGGATCATTGCAGTAAAAGTGCATTGATCAAGGAACATAATGATTCTCTTCCCCCGCACCTGACATTTCTACCATTTCATTTTTAGTAGGTTTTTCTTTGATTTTCTCAATTATTAGCTTGTTTTATGCCTGTGAGAGTATATGACAGAACAGAAGAGATGCATACTTAGGGCTATTCAGCACAGCTCCATCATCCTGTTTTTATACCAGCATAAAATTGGTATAAGACAGTGATAAACCAGGTCTGTAACAGCTAGTGCTTCATATCTCAAGAAGGCAGAGTTAATCTCTGTTTTTGTAGGTAGCCTTAGCTACTGCATAGTCGCTCTCATAGTTTCTTTTTGTTTCATAATTAAGCTCACTGTTCTGGTTTGCCAGTCCCTCACATCTTGTGAAAGCCCATGTGATATCCAGGGTACAGAAGCCTGAATGTGCTTAGTTTTGAGAATATTCATCAGATCGGGGGATTTGGGTTTGCAGATTCCCTGTCAGAGGTATCTCACAGCTGTGGCTTGCTAAGCTCAAATGCTCACATTTGTTCATCACAGAGAAGGAAACAAGACTGAATTGGTATGTGTAGCACGAGAAGTAAGTTTTTGTAAGCCAGATGCAGAAAGACATTTCTGGCTTCTGGGATGTGTGTATGGACAGAAAGGATACCTCCTGTCATGTCAGGGTTTGACGACTGCCACCGCAGCGTGTCGGACTTTTTTCACAGCACTATTTAGACATCCAGGCAACCATCACTGATAAAGCTGCAGTTTCGTGATAGCTGTCACATACATTTTGTTTTCAGCTGGCTTCATGTGTTTTAAAATCAATCCACAGCCCTTGCCATAAGGAGACGTTTGTTCCTTAAGAGGAGAAAGATGTGCCGAGCGATGTGGGAAGAGGGACACGGTGAACACTTTCAGAGGGGCTCTCAAGGATGCAATCTCACAGCTGGAGCTCATGATTTCCTCTTCCAAAGTTTCTCTAGCCATCTGTGTCCCACCTATCTGCTGTGGTCCCGTGTTCCTGCCCTGCCTGCTCCCTCCCACCAGGGTGGGTGGCCCTTGCCTGCCTACACAGCAAGCATGAAGTGCATTTCTGTCAGTGCAGCCGGAATCAAGAACTGCAAGGAAGCATCAGGCTTTCTGCAAAGCCAGCTCCTGCAGCTCCTGGAGCTGGTGCAAGGACGGAACAGGAGTGTGTGATGGGAGCAGGCAGGACATTAAGCTACAACTGAACTTCATCTCCTGGTTATGATTTCACATCTCACTGAGTCCTGCCACGTGCTCCTGCCCCATTCCCCTTGGGATGGCTCTGGTGATCAGATAGCCCTGGGGCATATCAATTCAGAGAATTGACCCAGTGGAAATCTAACACTGCATACAAATAGATATGCAAGTATAAGAACAGTTCACTGCCAAATATGTCAGCCTGTCAAGTGAGATGGCTTGCCCTAAGGCCACAAGACTTCCAAAGCCAGCATGAGGAGGGAGGAGGGTACCTGCAGCTGGGATTAAGGGGCAGGGGAGAGGGAGCAGGACCTTTATTTTCAGTGGAAGGTGGACACTTACTTGGCAGAGCTGCTTTTAGTATGAAGACACCTCCTCCAGTTCTGTGACACCAGTGGTTTGGATGGAAGGGGGTTTAACAGGGGGCAAGATTTGTAGAGGCAAATTTTAGCTCCTGGAGGCTCATCCACCAGGGTTGATTTACTGATTAGTGGAGGGAAATACTTTTCCCTGGGCAGGTGGTGAGGATGCCCCTATCTCAGTTGTGACCATGAAAGGAGCCCAGAGACATCTACAACTACCTGAAAGAAGGTTGTAGTGAGGTGGGGGTTGGTCTATTCTGCTGTGTCTCAAGTGAAAAGATAAGAGAGAGTGGCCCTAAGTTACACCAGGGGAGATTCAGATTAGATATTAAAAAAAATGTCACTGAAAGAGTGGTTATAGGCATTGGAATAAGTTTTACAGGGAGGTGGTGGAGTCACTACCACTGGAAGTGTTCAAGAGCCGTTTGTTGTAACAAATCACTAGGCCAAGTAACAGCAGACACAGATCTTTGTCAGGAAATTATGCTACGTATTTTAAATCTACTTTATACTAAACATGTATATTTTCAGTCTAATGCGAGGTAGAGAGAAATCCCCCAAAGGTTTTCCTAAATGGGTAGGGTCTCAATAATGTAAGAAAACCAAAAATAAAATTTCCAAGCCTCTCATACTAAAAATAAAACTGAAATAAAGTTAAACCTTCTCAAATATTCTCCAAAGAAATTGTTATATTTTGCTATCATCAAATTTCACCGGGACTCACTGAATTCTTTTTCATTCTCTTTTTTTTTGCATAACCAGCCCTTTGTCCTCTAGTTTGCACTGGGCTGAATTTAAGGGGTCAACTACTGCCTTTTTCTGTTACTGAATTCATGAAGATTCCTCCTTAAGCACTCTTGCCTGTTATAAACATATTCTGAAATCATTTAACTGCCTATTAATTAAACTAATGATTTCAGGATTGCTTTACATGTGCAGTATGTCAACGAGTTCGGTTCTCTAGACATAATAAATACACTTAATAAAGATGCTGAAAATTTCGTGTGTCTGTGTGCATCAGAGGAAATAGGAAATGAGCTCCACAACTGGTAACATTTGGGGAGCAAGAAATGTGGCAGGTTTGTTTCTGCTTTATGAAATTCTCAGGTTTCAGCAATCATGCATATTGTGCATGTGGTCTGTCAGTAGTTTACCTCAATTGACTCATCATTTTAATCAGTGAAAAGCTCATCACCTGTCCTGTATGCTAAAACATTGATAAATAATATATGTGGAAATTAGTTACTATTAATGTATAAGATCTTGCTATATCAATAAATTCCCTCTGTGCAGAAGGAATTTGTATAATTAAGATCATTTATCTGCAAAAAGAGTGAGTGTTTGAAGTTGCCAATGGTACGTATCACACCATTATAAGAAATTATTAAAAAAATCTACACTGAAAGAAAAGAAAGAGGAAAGGATACATTTCCCTACACAGATATTGGAACCTTGGAGCTTTTGAAAATTCTTGAATGCTAG